AGATCACTTTAATAATATCTCACCTAATTAACTTTAAATTTTAATTTATTTATTTTTGGATGTATTAAACTTAATCAGATTAATTAAAAATATATAAATCCAAAATTTGTTTACATCTGGACAGTCCAGTTTATTGATTTTAAGTTTTAACCAATTGATATAATCAGTTTATCAATCATAACTGGTTTTAATATAACCAGTTTATAACTAGTTCTGATTTTCAGGATGTCAATAAAACCAGTTTGTAATAATAAAACCAGTTCCAACCTCTATTTATTGCATTATAATCACTATAAATCTCTGATAATAAGCCATAATAACCTTCATAAAAGATACTAACATATTGCAATTTAATAATATAAATAGTTATTTCATTTTGAAAGATATGATTAGAGTTCAAGTAAAATCAAAATACATCCTTAAACTTACAAACCTTCCAATGAACATTAAAGGTTGACAATTAATCTCTATTGAATGAGCTATCAAAGCAATTGCATTCATAATTCCTAAATCAAAATCCACATATAGAAATCTGCAATATACAGTTTTTTACTTTAAAAAATTAAAAATAAAGATGATCTTAAAGTTGCAAAAAATGGAGATACTATTTATTTTGATTGCAAAAAGTTCATTTGAATAGACCTGAATAGTAAACTTTGTTTTAATTGCTCTGTTTCAGAATACTGATCTAATAATTATAGAAAGGTTAGATTAAGATTATTAGGCAAAATCAAGAGTTTAGATAGACATTTAAATGGTAAAGGTAAAACTTGGTTAAATTATATTAAAATCTTATTAAAAAATCTGCAAAATTCAGAAAAAGGTAAAACTATATCAAAGCTTATAAAAATGAAATGGTGAAACAATATCAAATACTTAGTAAAAATTTAGTAAAACTAAAGGTTTAAATATTTAGCCAAATCAAAAATGAGTTTAGACAAGCAACCTTAGGCTAGATGTAATCCAAAAAACTGTCAAATGCAACACTAGTATCAAAGATACTAGCTTGCCCAATTTAGAAATTATACTGTATCAAAAAATTCAGTTTTTAAGAATATCATATTTGCTCACATAACAGGTAAAAGAAATATACCAGATCACAAAGACTTTTATTTGATATCTAAGACAATTTTATCTTAACCTATAACTACTATAAATTGTTATAATTCAGATAACTCATTAGATGTGAGTATCTATACACATAATAATTAGGCAGATGAAATAGAATTAGTTCACATCTTATCTAAAAATTATGCGCTGGCAAAAGACTCATATGTTTATGTGGAATCTGATAAATTAAATCAAATAATACTCAAACTTGATGCAGTAACAGACCAATATGGTAAACTTCATGATGATTTTAACTTCACTAATAAATGTGTCAATTATACATGAAGTTGAAATAGATCATTTCAGATATCCGAAATAGTCAAAATGGTCAAAATCATTTCAACTATTGGAGGCTAAAGTCACGAAATAGTCGAAATGATGTCATATCACATGATTTTTATATTTAGAAAAAATAAAAAATAAAAGATGTATGATCTTAGTCAATATCACTCCGATTTGTATAATACAATTACCATTCGATTCCTCATGTGACTATACGAATCCAATAAGCTAACATTCATTGA